TATTAGGTGCGCAACTAAGTTCTCGCTGTTTTTTTATGTTTATTGTGAAAAAATGAATCATTCAAAGTATTGCCCATCGTTAGCTACAACTTTTTCCCATCTTTCTGGAAGAGCTCGAATACCGTTACGGTAAAAGTGTTCTTTTGAGACTATCCACGAATCAAGCCATTTTTTTATGTCTTCATATGAGTGGAACTGCTGATCAGCCAGACCATGTGCCATCGAACGGAACAAGTAATAATCGGACGGCGCAATATCTGGGGAATATGGCGGGTGGGGTAGAACTTCCCATTTGAGCGTTTCCAGGTAGGTTTTAACGGGGTTGGCAATGTGAAGCCGAGCGTTGTCATGCTGTAGAATCACTTTTTCGTGCCTCTGCTCGTATTGTGGCCGTTTTTCGCGCAGTGCTCGGCTCAATCGCATCAATTGAAGTCGATACCGTTCCCCAGTGATGGTTTCGTTGGGTTTCAACAGTTCATAATAAATAACACCGACCTGGTCCCACCAAATACACAGCATAATCTTCGCAGCGTGAATATTCGGCCGAGCCGACGACGTCGAAGCATGACTGGGCAGTCCCCATGACTTTCTTTTTTTTTGGGTTGCTGTAATGAATTCATTTTTCATCACCCGTCACGATGCGATGAAGAAAACTCTTCCTTTTTTGCCGCTGGAGCAGTTGTTCACAGGCGAAAAAACGACGCTCAACGTCCCTTGGCTTCAAATCATAAGGAATCCAAGTTCCTTGCTTTTGAATCATTCCCAACGCAATCGCTTGGAAATAGCTTGGCGGGTAATTCCGAATGCTGAAGCAAGCTCTTCTTGCGTTTGGCACGGATCCTCATCGAGGAATGCCTCCAATTCAGCGTCTTCGAAGGATTTTGGCCTTTCTTCACGCGAACGGTCGTCAACATTGAAATCACCGTCTTTGAAGCGACGGAACAAATCACGGCACGTTGTTTCACTTAAAGCAGCATCTCCATAAACTTTTTGGAGCTCTCGATGCGCTTCAGCCGCCGTTTTCTTCGAATGAAAGAAGAAAATCAACACTTCCCGCAAATGACGATTATTTGGCACAAAATCAGACATTTTGACACAACCAAAAGTATATGACGCCAAAACAAAATCATTAATGTGTCAAAACGGTTTGTTTACCATATGTCTGAGCT